GGATCAGCGGCAGAAAAATCTGTCGGTCTCAGCGATCTGCGGCGGGGTGGACACGCCGCAACCCTAGCTCTAGTCTCAAATCTTGTATCCGTAAACTTGGCTCTGTATACCACTTCTTAGATAATAACGAGAATAAACGAGACACGAGAGACACAGATTTTTACGTGGAAACCCTTGTGGGAGAAAGCCACGGACACACGAAGGCGCAATCACTATGATGAAGGAGTATTACAAGCACGAGACGACAGACCGTGTTAAGTGCGACTACATGGGATATATATGAGGGGCAACACATACTAGTCCTTGTAGGACAAGTAAACGAGTTGTACTCGTATGCAAAGGCCCACACCGTATGTACTATGTCTAGTCCAATATGGTACTACAATTTAGATCATAATTTAGCAGGCCGACTACGCCTTCACAGATCATCGTGTGGTATGGCGTATGTGCAGAAGCCCTCTATTTCCAACTTGCTGTTGATACCAAGGTGATTCTCGTGTTGCTGAAAGTTGGTACACCTGTTGCTGTTCTCTGCTTCACTTTCTATCACAGTTGTTCAGTCTCTAAATGCAAGACTTCCCCTTAGTTTCATGGTTGTCATCCCAGAATTTGTCTCATTTCATTGTCGTGTGCGTATGTATCAGGTGCATGGGTTTGCGAGATGCACTGGCAGCTTCATCAATTTGAACTCTGAAGCAACTTACATGCATATGTCTGTAGTTAGGTTTTCGTTTGGTTTTCCCTTTTCGGAGATCGGAGTTAGTTGGCCCCTGTTATGTAGGTTCTTGCTCATGTCTCTCTTTGGCATTCAACTCATTTATCTAAGCAAAAAAAAAAACATGCATTATTAAGTGCAAGTGCGGGATATACTAAAGTTTGGCCTTTTCTACGCATGCATGTTTGCACCAAGTTTACCCCTTCTGTGCAGCGTATACCACTATTCCACTTCATCATGCTTTACTGATAAATTCATGTATGGCCCTGATCACATGCAGGGTCACCTGTAGCGTAACTTTCTCTTTAGCTTTACCTTTGTGATATTTTAAACTTACGAAGCAAAGAATCTGATGATGACTGGTGGTTGGAGCGTGCAGAGAGCAAAGAATTTTCGCAGCTCTGTTGACAGAAAAGCAAATAAAGCAGCAACGCAGCCAGGGAATACTACTATGCTAGGTGTATGCATGCCTGCCTGACCAGAGCTTATTGTATCCATTCGATTCTATACTAGTTCTGGTGAAGCGTGTGTGCATAGTGCATGCAGTGGAGCTTGGTTTTCTTGTCCACCAGATCCATCTCTACAGTTGGCTTCTTCTTAGCTAAGCTAGCTTGTTCTGGCCGGTTCACTTAAATCCAGCGCCGCAATCAAGGTATGTAACTGTGCCAATCGTCTATACTATATATGATCCGCAGGATGCTTCTCCAAATTTGTCAAGCTTTTGAAGACTTTTTATAACGAAATAGATATCATGTTGTAATTTCTCCAAATGCTTGCATTGATCCTATTCCCTGGACATCTGTAGGAAGGAAGAATTAAGCCTGGTGTCTTGGTGCAGTCCATCAGATCCATGGGTTAGATCGAACGAGCCAACTCAACACCAAATGAACCTGCAGACCGATTTTAATACGTCATGGCGCCGAGGGTACGTAATCCAGTCATGCATCTCGATCTTCAGCAATCAATGTTGCAGGCTTAATTTAGATTCGCATTTATATTATATTTTGCTTGGTGCCCTGTTCACTTTGTGGGCTTGTCTATTTTTTTCGCTTTTGTTTGAGAAGATGATGAAGCTAATTACATGCATTGATCATGTATCTAGCTAGACAGGACAAATATTTAGTACTATATGACCCATCTCTTGGGAAGATGCTATCATTCCTCTGTCGTCATGGTTTTCTATCTATACACGCATTTGGCGATTGACTTTGTTTTATGAATAGATGTAGCCCAGCTTAAGCGTTTCGTTGTACACACCGTAAAGCATCTATATATTCCTAATAAAGTTTTACTAAATAAGTAGAACAGGCAGAGTAACAATTAAATATTATCTTTATTATTTCTATGTATTAATTATGTAGTTAAAATATGTCTTATAACTTGAATTTTTTGAATAAACAAAGGTAAAGTGATGAACCTCATCAGTTGATTATTATACACTGCAGGACATCAAGATCAAAGCAAATACCATCGATGATGCAGCAGGTGGGATACTCCGCCTTTTGGAGGGTGCAAGCAAACACGAACGAAATATCTACTTCCATGGCTGGTGTGGACTTGGAGCATCCGCTACTCTGAGAATGGTAGCCCAACGCTTGAAATCATCACCCACTGAAGAAATGAAGTTAGACAAGGTTGTTCATGTGGATTGCTCATTGTGGCAAGGAATGAGAGCCCTGCAAAAGGCAATTGTTGAGGAGCTGGAGCTTCCCCAATCGGTGATGGCCATATTCGACCAGCACGATGAGGAGGAGGATTTCGATGGGATAGACCAAGGCTCCAGAGGGGTGATATTGGAGGTCACAGAGGAGATCTTCAGAAAGCTTGTTAACAGTACATTTTGTTGTGATTTTTCACAACGGGAGCGGCCACTACATTGATTTGTACCAGTGTGGTGTCCCTGTAACAATATTTTTGAGTAACAAGGTGTTGTGGACCTGGGGCAGGAGGCTCCGACTCATTGACAGATCTGATGTTGATGAAGTCCATAAAACTCCGACTGAGGCTGATATTGTCGTGAGAGGTCTAGAATTTATGGGAAATATATTGCATGAAGAGGCCGCAGAGGTTGCTAAGTACATTGGTATTCTTGAGCCTGACAGAATAGTTGAGTGCCTCCAGTACATCTGGGCAAGAAGACGTGTCAGCCGTATCGACTGGGAAACACATGCTTCAAACTATTGGGTATGTGATGGGATTATACAAGAGCAAGACAATATATCTGGATGGAAGGTTGGTGATGCTCTGCACAGATTCATACACTTGGATTGGATGAAGGAGGTAGATAATCCCTACCGAAAGGCCAGGGGTCGTCGAACTTATCAAAAAAAAGAAGATAATCCCTATGCAAATTGGATTGATTCTTCCCTTTCCAGTTCTAATGACCGTTGGGTTTCCGCCACACACCAAGTCCTGCTACATGATATTGATGTTCTTCCTCCTCAGGCGACATCCTTCTTCCTCCTAGCTGGTGGCAAGGTGATATTACCAGCTGGCATTTTCCAGAACAACAATAGGCTGCGTGTACTACATCTATCTTGGTGCACCTTCAGTTTTACATTGCCTCCCTTCCTTTGTTGCAGCCACCTAAGATTCCTCTTGTTGGACCATTGCACAGATGTAAAAGAGGAGGAGCATCAAATCAGTAACCAAAATGGATCATGTTTCCAAAAGCTATGGGTGTTGGACCTGAGGAATACAGACTGGTACTCAAACACAATGTTGTGTTTAATGGATGAACTCAGGGAGCTGAATGTGGATGGAGTCAAGGATTGGATGAGGATAGTTGAACTATGTGGCAGTAGAGATAGACTTGTCAAGCTCCGAGTTGCAGCTAGCCCGGACTATGTAACAGAAATAATCATGCACCAGCCAGCTCCTAACATATCCAATGCCGGCCACCTTAAGACAATAATCCTTGAGAATTGTGTTGGATTGGAACAAGTTGTCCCCGAGGTTCTGCCCCCATTGCTCGAGTCATTTAGTTTCATCATCACTAATGTTGCTATTCCTAATATATCTAGCATCTCCTTCCGGGGCCGTGCCGAATTGAAGAGTATGCTGCTAAGAGGTGTGATGAAGAACCTCCAGGAGCTGGACCTCTCAGGAACATCGATTAAGACCCTTGACCTCAGAGAAGTTGTAGCACTGAACCTCAAGCGGATCATCCTATTGGGTTGTGAGAAGCTGCAAGCAATACAATGGCCACCACCTATCAAAATGGCAATCTTGGAGATGATGCACATTGAAACCATCCTTTGATTGCTACATTTCTGTAAGTGATGCAAGACTCCTTAGGTCGCTAAGGCCCGTCATAGTATGTTTCAACTGTTGTAGAGGAGTGAGAGGACCTTTTACCTTACTAGATATCGACTTCTCTACAATGTCTGAAGAAGATTCTGACTTAGGTGGACATATAGAGATAGCTTATGTTCCTGCAAATAGCATTGTTGTTGGTGATAGGGGATGTGGTCAAGGAATTAGACAACTTGATCATTATTTATATGAAAGAGATATCACGTTTCAGGACCACCTGCATGCTGTTGCTGCTAATGAGGGTGCAATCTGCTGGATGTGGGCTAGCCCGCCTGCTGTTGTTGCCGAAGAGTTAACGGGCTGGTATATCCGCATACAAGATGAAGAGGAGATGAGGAGTGGATTACTGCAGAACCAGAGCAGGACCCAAGGAACTAGTGCTTTAATCCCTGGTTATATATGCGACCGTGCTAAGAAGTTGCATGTACATGACAGCTTGTCCATCACCAGCATCCCATTCCCATATGTTATGGTTTTCCAATATAATTTTATAGATTGGCGCTCTATTGTTAGACAATCCTGGAGCCACCTTGGATGGTGTCAGATTGAGAGGTGCCCCAACCTAAGCTCTGTCTTTGCTACTCCCACCTTGGATGGTGATGAGGAAAGCCATTCTAATGGGTTTGAATGCTTTCCTCAGTTGAACACGTTCTGGGCATCCCAGCTCCTGAAGGCACGCTTCATCTGGATGTGCAGCACAATGTTCCTACCCAATAATAATTCCTTTCAAAACCTAACCTTCTTGCACCTAGACTATTGTCCGAGGCTCATACATGTTCTCCCCTTATCCGCACATATGACTACCTTACCTCAATTAGCAACCCTCGAGGTCGTGTGTTGTGGCGATCTCATGGAGATCTTCCCTTTGGACCCTGAGCGCCAAAAGAAGCAAACAGTTATATATTTCCCCAACCTGAAGCGCATCCACCTGCATGATCTCCCTAGGCTGCACTGCATATGTGGGAGTAAGATGTTAGCGCCAAAGCTCAAGACTATCAAGATAAGGGGCTGTTGGAGCCTCAGGCGCTTGCCCGCCGTTGCCAAGCAATACCCCGAAGTGGACTGCGAGAATGATTGGTGGGACAACTTGGAGTGGGACAAGGGGGATGCAAACCACCACCCTTCGCTCTACAAGCCCAGCCACTCGAGGTACTACAAGAAGGCCCAACTGCCGAGAGGTACTGTACTCAGGTGAGATATATCTGGCTCCATCTTTCCATTCATTAATAATTAACTTTGTGTGCTAGTCAGCTTAGTTTCTTCATCATCGTCCCAGTACTAGTCTACTGCCAGTAATTAATGTATATAGTTAACCAATTATCTAATTGGCAATTTATATGCTGCATTGTAGGTAATCCATCCCTTCATTGACTTGATCTTCAGCTTGTTTCAACACTACATGCATGCCAGCCTCAAAGTTGAAGATTTCTCTGTGATATATGGTTGTGGTATTTTTCCTACCCAAAATCATGTTGCTTGATTGTGTTTTTTTGTGCTCTGAATCCGCATTGCCATGGTGTGGCTCTGTGCCTGTACGAATCTACATTGTCGGCGTGTTGTTGCATCTTTCAGTTTGGTTGGTTTGGATCGGTTCAGTCCGCTTTGCTGGATCGACCCATATTTGCATGCATCAAAGCAAGTATCTGCCGTCTAGTCGGATGGATGATGGTACAAGCTCCGAGCAAGAGAGAAATAAATAAGAGTGGCATCCAGCTTATGCAGCATGAGCCGTGGCGTGCTCATGTTGCTGCTATGCTCTCTGTGTGCGTGTGGTGTGTGGTTTGTCAGCTATGGACTGATTGTTGTAATAATTTGATTGTGCCAATGATGTTTTAGCAATTGTGGATTGTTATAAATTTGTTGTTTAATATTTCCTTTCTGGCAAGGTTCTAGCTATTAATTCTGAAGTATTTCATGATTGAATGTAATATCACCGCCAAACTTTCGAATGAGATTATTTGTTGTTCCATTTGATATTGTCAATCTGGAGAGGTTACTGCACCTCCGCCTCTCGAGGGAGTCTACTCTGCTCCACAGAGTTCCCCGCATAACATCTTTTCGTACTCTGGGGTATCTTGATCTCAGCTGTTGCTCGCAAGAGGATTTATCACACTTGACCAATCTCCGTGATCTTCAGCTCCCCTTTTCTATGCTACAGCCAGCAGAAACTTTGCAGAAGACTCTGCTTCTAGGCTGGATTATGAAGAAACTCAGCGTCTTGCAGTCCACCAATTTGTTACCTGATTTAGTCTCCTCTCCTCAGGATGATGCCCGGGTGCATGTCTTGGGCATGCATAGCGTCTCCTCCAGACCTGCTTCTTCCAAGGATCGAGCTGTCACGGCACTGTTGCATCTTCTACAGCCTCCCTAAGTGTTTTTAAGAACTCAGCAAAACCGCCTACTTCAAGTTCCTACTGCACAAGGTGGCGAAGACCAGGTGGAGGGAACAAACGGAGGACACAATGATAAAATGGCATCTCACCCAAGACAGCCCACCAAAGCAGAGGCGACGGCACTCCAGCAGGAGCCCGAGCCCTCCCCATTCCCAGCACGACTAAGCTTTTGGTACAACCCTTTCCTCATTTGTGCAGACATTTACCCGCCCTGCTCAAAGTTTCTAAGCCTTTCGATACGATCCTCCTATGGATAGAAGATAGCCACTCTGTTTTTCCTTGTCATAGGGTTCATCTGTCACCATCTTTTTTCCCCTTGAGAAATCTCCCTGATTGTTAGGAAAGTAAATAGTTCAAAATCAGAACTGAGTCTAGTGCTTACTTCCATCACTTGTCCAGGCGTTCAGTACCTCATCACGCTTTTTAGTGCCGGTTGCCCCCCGACAGCTGCTATGTCGAGACGATGCACGAAGCGCGCGGTGAACTGTGCGGTCAGTGAAGGAACATATATATGAGCAGTCCCAACACCTTGATACCATCAAAACTGATCAGCTATCTAAAGATTACAGATTCCACACACGTATGCATACCATGTGTACCTTCTGTGATGTGTTACTAGGTGCATTCATGGGCGGAAGACGGGCTTAGCGCAACTACAACGTCGCATTGCCATGGTGTGGCTCTGCACCTGCATTGATCTACATTGTCAACGTGATTGTGCGTTTTCCAGTTTGGTTTGGTTTGGTTCAGTGAGCTTTGCTGGATTGTCCCATATATGCATCACAGCGAGTATTTATCATCCGGTTGGTTAGATGATGGTACAGGTTCTGAGCAAGAGAGAAAAAAAAAATTAAGAGTGGCATTCAGCTTATGCAGCATGAGCCATGACGTGCTCATGTGGCCACTATGCGCTCTCTGTGTGTGTGGTGTGCGATTTGTCAGCTATGGACTGATTGTTGTAATAATATGTTGTACTCTGACTTTCATATAAATCCGCTGCTGAATGTTTCTTATGTGAATGTTGTAGCTCTATGCCTTATGCTTTGCTTTGTTCTGGGTTGGTCGATGACTGTTATAAGTTTGTATACGTATCATGCAAAGAGCTCTTCTTATGTTTACTGGCTAGCTGAGCACCAAGCAGTTAATGCCCTTCAGGCCTGTATAATCATCTAAGTTTGTATACTGGGAAACCATGTTTTTTGTATTTTTGGCTGGTATCACTGTTCGATGCTAATGCAAAGTTGAAATGTAAATTCGGATGGGATTTTATTTTCAGTTTAAAAAGAAACAGCCCGACGTTAGCTAGGGTCTCAATGCACTCTGCTTTGGATACAAACATGATAGCACTACAAATTTAGAGACATGGTCTTGACGAGGAGAAGCAGAGCAAGACCTATAGTGGAAGCTCGAGCTGTACCAAAACTACATGAACGAAAGCCAACGAGTCCCCTGCATATAGAAAAGAAAAAGAGCGAACGGAGCACCTCCATTTGAATCAAGGCACTGGTTAACACGCTTCGTTTGCCCATCTATTTGTATGCAGGCCATACACGGCAGTTCTAAGCTTTGGTTGTGTTCCTGACAATATGAATAGCCCATGGAGCTCCCTCACGGTTGGTCCAGTAGTGTCTTCTGCCCCAGCTGTTTGACGGCTGCTGATTGAGTACTCTGCTTCCCTTGAACGTAGTTATGGCACAACAGAGTTGACGGCTTCTCTAGGAGATTCTCACAATGGCTAGCTGTGTGCTTGCGATCTTCTTGCTCTCCATTTCCACCGCGTCGACCATGTCCGTCGCACTTCCGTGTTTATCACGTCACACGAGCCCACCGAATCTGTATCATCATGTCACAAAATCTGAATCTGGAAGCTGCATACGGCCATTTTATTGATTATTCTCGAGGACCTTACAAAGTATTACAACAATGTGCCTGAATCCACCATCTTGGCAACACATGCCGCTACTCCTATCCAAAATGATGAAGGGATGCTAGCTGAGCCACTACCCAAACCACTCACCTAAGCCTAACATCAAAAGCCGGAAGTCGAAACATATTCGGAAGCCCCAGCCGAGCCACATACCGGATCTGGGGCACAATCCGGTCAGACGCACTCGTGTGTCGTCGCCGCCATCTTCCACAGGTCCGTCTTCAGATCATATTGAGGCTTCTACCTTGTCTGGCCACTCTGCCATCGACGTCACCATGACGCCAGACAGCAACCTCCTCCTGCGCGAGTCCATCTCTGTGCATCGGACGTCGAGCCTCCACAACGCCATGCCGCCGATATCCGCCGCCGTCGATGTGTGAGATGAAGCACCGCTCCACCATCCCCCAGCCAACACTTACTCCAAAACGATGCCCGCAGGAGGGAAAGCGATAAAACACCATCATCGTCCGATTCGGAAGACCCAGATCTAGGGTTTCCCCCGGAGCATCCCGAGCCTGATGATGCAGACTGCAATGACGATGCCTCGACAAGGGAACGACATCTAAGACGCCGCCATCGTCCGCCATGACCGTAGTCGGCGCGATTTTCATCGGCAGTTGCTCCACCAGACGTGCGCCGCCGACGTCGCTGGCCCCTTCAACCGGAGCAAACTCCAAAACAATGCCCTAAAGAGGGACTACGTCGGCAAAGCGCCGCCATCGCTCGATCCCAAGGAGATCTAGGGTTTCCCCCGTAGTTGCCCGCGCTGTCAAGGGACAGACAAGGGTAGAATCCCGCGGATCTGCCAAGCTGCCGACGAGTCGCACCCACCATCGTGCCGACGGCCGACCAGCGATCAATCCGGCCGCGCCGCCGCGAACCGATCCGGTCACGCCGCCGCCGTCCCTGACGGCCGCAACGCACCAGATCGCAAGGCCTCCTGCCGCGGAGAATCGACGTTGTCGAGGCGCCGCCACCACCCGCCGTGGCGACCGGCCCGCCGCCACGCTCCAGCCCGGCGGCGCCGGCCCGCGCCAGCCCCACCCGAGCGAGAGGGCCCGAGTCCCCGCCACCGCCGGACAACAGCTTGCTGTATCTATCATTCTGTGTCTGCAAGCAGCTTAGTTTTCGGGTCGACCTGATCGATCCATTTGGCTTCGGTTTAGCTAAACTTGTACTGGTTCAATCCAGCAGCGCCACAATCAAGGTAATGTTACTCTGCTAATTGTCTATACATGTATGTCATCTGCAGAGTGCTTCTGCAAATTTGTAAAGCTTTTGAAAGACATTATAACGCGCCAGGGATCATCTTCTAACTTCATGCAGGAACGAATTAAGCCAGCTGGAGTCTTTGCTGTAGATCAATTAGATCATGGGTTAGATCGAACAAGTCAATTCAACTCCAAATGAACCTGGAGATCAATTCAATACATCATGACGAGGGTACGTAATCCATTCATGCATCTCGATCATCAGGAACCAATGCCGCGAGCTTAACCGAGATTTGCATTTGCTATCATATTTTGCTTGTTGCCTAACCACTTTGTGCGAAAACATGTTTTAGAGTACCTGCACCCAGGCCCTTCTATCCTAGCCATCCATCCACGCATCGCGATCCGTGCAAATACATTTCTCTTTTTTGTTTCTCTCATATAGAACATGTCTTGAAGTTCAAACCATTGCAGAACAGCAAAGCTTTCTAACTAGAATCTAGGATAGAGTTTTAATATTTTTTGGCCTAACATAAATATACAAAATAAGTTTTGTTTGATTAAAAAATCATATTTTTAGTATTTATGTTAGACAAAAAATTCTGAAAGATCCATCCTAGATTCTAGTTAGAAAGCTTTGCCGCGCTGCAAAGGTTTGAACTTC